AGCTTGGGTAGTGCTGAGTGCTGAGTGCGGCGCTAACCAACAAACAGACAAACATCAACGCGACGACTTCATAAATCCTCGCCCTAGTTTCAGACCCAAAGAAGGCTTGTGAATATGAATTACTGTGGATTTTATTACAGTTATACACTGCTTTTTACAAGACCATTGTACTCCGACTATACTATCAAGGACATAAAAACCGGGATTCCCCAATATTGCACAACGTTTCGTAACACACTGCAACCTGGCCTACAAGCTATCCAGGCTATTTCCTGACATAACACGGGAACTCTGCGACGTGCCCTCGCTGTGGGGAGCTTGTACGAACCAACCACATTGCTCTTTCACCACCATTCGCCTCTCTCCGTAACCTATTCTGCTTGTCCCGGAATAACACGAGTTGGTCACGAATGTTTCACCACGAGCAGAAATTGGGCCGTGTCAGGTCACAAGCAGATAAGCATATATACTCAATGGTTAAATATCTTCAGTCAGGTGGCTACTATTAAAACACACGTACAATGGCATCGCTGTGTAACGGGACACCGGTGTGGGTAAGTAGACGATACGTGTTACTTGTGCATCTGAGCAGTCTACATTCATGGATAATGTGTCTGAGTGGGGTATTCATGCGTCACTGCGGCATGGTATCTCAGTGGGCTAGCACTATAAAACCAGCTTCAGTCTGGGCTAGTACAAGCAGCCGCACATACACATACACACGCATGCACGTCGTCATATGAGCGAAATATTCTCAAGCACGATGTAAAACCCAATTTCACCTCACCTCACCTCACATTTATGGATGCCTATGCTTTAACGTGTTTTATGTAAAGACTGTGCCCCATCAAAAGTTACACATTAAAGTGTAATTTCACGTTAATAAGTGACTGTTGTGTTGAACTGAGTTCATGTACAATTTTTATGTTTATATCACTGTATTTCAAATTCCCGATAATCCAGATTCCTGACAAAATCAGTTTTCATGCATAATTATGATCACCCACGATACGTTAATCCGAACAGTACATGCATGACCGGCGTACGTGTCACTGGCATGCACTCGTATTACAATGAACAGTCTTGCAAAATATAACAACGCCAATAGTGAGTGAGTGAGTTTAGTTTAACGCCGCACCCAGCAATATTCCAGCTATATGGCGGCGGTCTGTAAATAATCGAGTCTGGACCAGATAATCCAGTGATCAACAGCATGAGCATCGATCTATGCAATTTGGATACGATGACATGTGTCAACCAAGTCAGCGAGCCTGACCACCGATCCCGTTAGTCGCCTCTTACAAGCATGGGTTGCTGAAGATCAGTTCTAACCCGGATCTTCACGGGTTTTAACAACGCCAGTACTCTATATTTCCTTAAGAAGAGACTGCTTGTCAGGCCTGGCTGACCCGTGAAGATCCGGGTTGGAACTGATCTTCAGCAACCGTCGTAAGAGGTGACTAAAGCATGGGCGGTGAGGCTTGCTGACTTGGTTCACACGTCATCGTATCACAGTTGCGTAGATCGATGCTCATGATGTTGATCACAGGATTGTGTCCAGACTCGATTATTAACCGCCGCCATGTAGCTGGAATATTGCTGATTGTGGCGTTAAACGACACATGGAAAGTATCCTTATGCTGAATGTGTGGCTTCCCGGCTTTTGCTGCAGAGTTACGTTGTGCTTGTACCGTTCAAGTTAAGCTCCGGTTTGTGGCTCAAGCTTCACGTGTAGCATTCGGTTTTCCGCTTTTGCCGCTTGTATAGCGTCTCGGTAACCGGCTTCAATTGCGTATTTTGCTTCAAAGTTCCCGGTTTACGCTGTATGTGTAGCTTCTTGGTACCCAGCTTATGTTGCAAGTGTGGCTTCTCGGTTCCCGACTTATGCTGCATGTGTATCTTCTCGGTTCCCGGCTTAAGGTGAATGTGTAGCTCCTGTGTTCCCGGCTAATGGTGCATGTAAAGCTCCTCAGTTCTCGGCTAATGCTACCCGTGTAGCTTCTTGGTACCCAGCTTATGCTGCTTGTATAGCTTCTCTGTTCCCAGCTTATGCTGCATATGTAGCTTCTCAGTTCCAAGCTTATGCTGTGTGTGTAGCTTCTTGGTTCCCGGCTTAGGCTGCATGTGTAGCTTTTCTGTTCCCGGCTTATGCTGCTTGTGTAGCTCCTCTGTTCCCGTGCTTATGCTGCATATGTAGCTTCTCTGTTCCCGGCTTATGCTGCATATGTAGCTCCTCTGTTCCCGGCTTATGCTGCATGTGTAGCTCCTCTGTTTCCGGCTTATGCTGCATGTGTAGCTTCTTGGTTCTAGGATTAAGCTGTATGTGTTGCTTTTCGGTTCCCGGCAAATGGTGCATGTGTAGATTTAGGGTTTCCTGTTTGTGCTGCATGAGTAATGGTATCGAATTATTGCCGCTTTCTTCAGGACACAAACCTGACCTGGTACAGCACATGGCCTCAGTTCACAGACTGCTTCCAGTCAACGGTGTTGGTGTGGGTGCCGTGTGGGTGGCTGTGGCTGACGTCCCCGTTCTACTTCTACTTATGCTATTTCCTGACATAACACGGGAACTCTGCGACGTGCCCTCGTTGTGGGGAGCTTGTACGAACCAACCACATTGCTCTTTCACCACCATTCGCCTCTCCGTAACCTATTCTGCTTGTCCCGGAATAACACGAGTTGGTCACGAATGTTTCACCACGAGCAGAAATTGGGCCGTGCCAGGTCACAAGCAGATAAGCATATACTCAATGGTTAAATATCTTCAGTCAGGTGGCTACTATTAAAACACACGTACAATGGCATCGCTGTAACGGGACACCGGTGGGTAAGTAGACGATACGTGTTACTTGTGCATCTGAGCAGTCTACATTCATGGATAATGTGTCTGAGTGGGGTATTCATGCGTCACTGCGGCATGGTATCTCCAGTGGGCTAGCACTTATAAAACCAGCTTCAGTCTGGGCTAGTACAAGCAGCCGCACATACACATACACACGCATGCACGTCGTCATATGAGCGAAATATTCTCAAGCACGATGTAAAACCCAATTTCACCTCACCTCACCTCACATTTATGGATGCCTATATGCTTTAACGTGTTTTATGTAAAGACTGTGCCCCATCAAAAGTTACACATTAAAGTGTAATTTCACGTTAATAAGTGACTGTTGTGTTGAACTGAGTTCATGTACAATTTTTATGTTTATATCACTGTATTTCAAATTCCCTGATAATCCAGATTCCTGACAAAATCAGTTTTCATGCATAATTATGATCACCCACGATACGTTAATCCGAACAGTACATGCATGACCGGCGTACGTGTCACTGGCATGCACTCGTATTACAAATGAACAGTCTTGCAAAATATAACAACGCCAATAGTGAGTGAGGAGTTTAGTTTAACGTTGCGCACTCAGCAATATTCCAGTTATATGGCGGCGGTTCAAACAATCGAGTCTGACCAGATATCCAGTGATCGGTAGTAGGAGCATCGATCTATGTAATTTGGATACGATGACATAAGTCAACCAAGTCAGCGAGCCTGACCACTGATCCCGTTAGTCGCCTCTTACATATGGTTGCTGAAGATCAGTTCTAACCCGGATCTTCACGGGTTTTAACAACGCCAGTACTCTATATTTCCTTAAGAAGAGACTGCTTGTCAGGCCTGGCTGACCCGTGAAGATCCGGGTTGAACTGATCTTCAGCAACCGTCGTAAGAGGTGACTAAAGCATGGGCGGTGAGGCTTGCTGACTTGGTTCACACGTCATCGTATCACAGTTGCGTAGATCGATGCCTCATGATGTTGATCACAGGATTGTGTCCAGACTCGATTATTAACCGCCGCCATGTAGCTGGAATATTGCTGATTGTGGCGTTAAACGACACATGGAAAGTATCCCCGCGCTGAATGTGTGGCTTCCCGGCTTTGCTGCAGAGTTACGTTGTGCTTGTACCGTTCTGCTAAGCCCGGTTTGTGGCTCAAGCTTCACGTGTAGCATCTGGTTTTCCGCTTTGCCATTAGTATAGCGTCTCGGTAACCGGCTTCAATTGCGTATTTTTGCTTCAAAGTTCCCGGTTTACGCTGTATGTGTGTAGCTTCTTGGTACCCAGCTTATGTTGCATGTGTGGCTTCTCGGTTCCCGACTTATGCTGCATGTGTATCTTCTCGGTTCCAGGCTTAAGCTGTATATGAAGCCTATCAGTTCCCGGCTAATGGTGCATGTAAAGCTCCTCAGTTCTCGGCTAATGCTACCCGTGTAGCTTCTTGGTACCCAGCTTATGCTGCTTGTATAGCTTCTCTGTTCCCAGCTTATGCTGCATATGTAGCTTCTCAGTTCCAAGCTTATGCTGTGTGTGTAGCTTCTTGGTTCCCGGCTTAGGCTGCATGTGTAGCTTTTCTGTTCCCGGCTTATGCTGCTTGTGTAGCTTCTCTGTTCCCTGCTTATGCTGCATGTGTAGCTTCTCTGTTCCCGGCTTATGCTGCATATGTAGCTCCTCTGTTCCCGGCTTATGCTGCATATGTAGCTCCTCTGTTCCCGGCTTATGTTGCATGTGTAGCTCTTCTGTTCTCGGCTAATGCTACACGTGTAGCTTCTTGCTACCCAGCTTATGCTGCTTGTGTAGCTCCCCTGTTCCCGGCTTATGCTGCTCGTGTAGCTCCTCTGTTCCCGGCTTATGCTGCATATGTAGCCCTCTGTTCCCGGCTTATGCTGCATATGTACCTCCTGTTCCGAGCTTATGCTGCATGTGTAGCTCCTCTGTTCCCGGCTTAGGCTGCATGTAGCCCTCTGTTCCCGGCTTATGCTGCATATGTAGCTCCTCTGTTCCCGAGCTTATGCTGCTTGTGTAGCCCTCTGTTCCCGGCTTATGCTGCATGTAGCTCCTCTCTGTTCCCGGCTTATGCCGCATATGTAGCTTCTGTTCCCGGCTTGTAGCTTAGTGCTACACTTAGCGTAGCCCGGCTTTATGCTGCTTTCCTCGGCTTCCCGGCTTAGCTGTATGTGTAGCCCTCTGTTCCCGGCTTATGCTGCATGTAGCTCCTCTGTTCCCGGCTTAGGCGGCTTGTATGCTGCACGTGTAGCTCCTGTTCCCGGCTTATGCTGCTGTGTAGCTCTTCTGTTCCCGGCTTATGCTGCATGTGTAGCTCCTCTGTTCCCGGCTTATGCTGCATATGTAGCTTCTCTGTTCCCGGCTTATGCTGCATATGTAGCTCCTCTGTTCCCGGCTTATGCTGCATATGTAGCTCCTCTGTTCCCGGCTTATGCTGCATGTGTAGCTCCTCTGTTCCCGGCTTATGCTGCATATGTACCTCCTCTGTTCCCGGCTTATGCTGCTTGTGTAGCTCCTCTGTTCCCGGCTTATGCTGCATGTGTAGCTCCTCTGTTCCCGTCTTATGCTGCATGTGTAGCTCCTCTGTTTCCGGCTTATGCTACATGTGTATCTTCTTTGTTCTAGGATTAAGCTGTATGTGTAGCTTTTTGGTTCCCGGCTAATAATGCATGTGTAGATTTAGGGTTTCCGGTTTGTGCTGCATGAGTAATGGTATCGGTTTATTGCCGCTTTCTTCAGGACACAAACCTGACCTGGTACAGCACATGGCCCCAGTTCACAGACTGCTTCCAGTCAACGGTGTTGGTGTGGGTGCCGTGTGGGTGGCTGTGGCTGACGTCCCCGTTCTACTTCTACTACCTCCTGAACGTCACACCGACAGCGTTGTCATCACGATATAAATATATAGCAAATATGGTAAGCTCCACCCTGTTGGGACTATGTCATCACGATAAAATAGGCATGTGTGTCAAAGATGAATATTCACCATATTTATTAACCAAATCTCTTTCCTTGTTGGATTGTTTAGCACATTCTTCTCATCAATCGACATTTCTTGATAAATCTGCATCATTGTGGTGTGAACCAGACACGCCTGTGACTGATGACAAACAATTAATGATCAACCCAATAACAGAGCATTAACATTACCCACATCATCCACTAAATTGTCTCTTTCGCCCAGCGTTGGTTGCGGGAGGTCTTTTCAATTCCGGAATCACTTTCCGGAGAGCAATATTTATATCCTGTTACTCACCTGACACTCCTCTTTCCTATTATGTTACCAATTTATGCGCTCTCACGCGACTCATGGTGACTGCATACTTAACACAGCCAACCTTTCTCAACCTTAAACAAATGAATATGCATTAATGACGAGGCCAAAGAACTAAAATCTACTGTTCATGTACTCCGTGCTGATAGAATCTAACATGGCAATGAAAGAAGTACATGGCAGGAAGGAAAACCTGCTATTCTATAGCGTAAAGGAATTTTGTACATAGAAATATTTAAAAATTATGCTGAAACATTATGGGAAGGGGTGTGTGTCATTGATCTTGACATGCAGTGGGGTCACTTACTTTGTACATAAATTGTGGGGGGAGGGTGGGGGGTCATTCACGTTGTACATATACTAAGCAGCAAAAGAAACGACAGTTTGGAATTTTCCTTCGCAGAAACGGATAACTGTAAACTCATTTGATGTTTTGATTGCATATTTTTTACAACATCTCCAACTGTACCTGAACAAAGACATTCCTTCCCAAACTCTGAATTGAATCAAGGAAAAAAACGCAACCTAATCTTGGAGATGGTACGGTGTTCTCCATCATTTTCATGCAACTCATGCTGCACGTGCTGTTCATAAGGACCAGCTCTATAAAATGCACCCCGAAACCTGGTTGAAACATTCACATTACAACGTCAGCAGGATGCCGCGACTCACGACAGCTCAGAGAAACCAGGCGCTAGGCAGACTTGATTCTGGCCACACTGCACAAGCCATTGCCAATCACTTCAAGGTCAACGTTCGGACCATCTACAGGTTGCAGCAACGTTTCCGGGCCACCAACACCACAAATGATCGCCCCGTACTGGCAGACTAAGGGTGACCACAAGACGACAAGACCGCCATGTTGTGCGACAGCATGTACAGAATTCCTTCGTGCAGGCATCCGAAACAGCACGCCAGACAGTGGGAACACACGAAAGACCAATCAGTACTGATACAGTACGCCGCCGTCTTAACAGCGGGAATCTCCATTGCTGTAGACCTTACCGTGGATCTATCCTCACCCCTCGGCATCGGCGTGAACGTCTGCAGTTTGCCCTACAACACAAAAACTGGCGATACAGGCAATGTAGAACTGTTCTGTTCACAGATGAGAGTCGGTACTGCATATCAACTGCAGATGGCAGAACAAGAATATGGCGACGACGTGGCCAGCGTTACTCAGACCAATGTGTTATGGAAAGAGATTCATGGGGAGGTGCAAGCATCATGGTATGGGGTGGAAATGGCCTGAACCAGAGAGTGGATCTTGTGGTGTTCCAGAACCTTGGTCCAGAGAGAGGAGGCGGCATCACAGCAGTGCGCTACGTCGACCAAGCTCTCAGAGCACATGTCATACTACATTTCGCACGTCACCTGAGCAACATTTCATAGCATGATAACGCCCGGGCCCATACTGCCAGAGCTACACGGGACTTCATACAGCAAAATGGTGTCAACATTATGCAGTGGCCAGCCCTTAGTCCTGATGTAAACCGAATTGAACATCTTTGGGATGAAATTCAGAGGAGACTGAATAATGTCATACCAAGGCCGAACAAAGCCGATTTATTGCGCCAGGCCTTTCTCAGAGTGTGGTTCCAGGTACCAATGGCCTTCATCAATCGTCAATTGTGCTGAGTTATTCATTGAAGTGTCAAGATATTGTACACAAAAAATGGTTTTGATCCGCTTATTATGTCCATTTCTGTAATGAATTGATTACAGTGCCTTTCTAATTTTGAATTCGTAATGACGTTTTTTTGCTGCTGAGTATATATGCTCTCCTTAAAGCCATAAAAATCCTTCCCCTTTCATACTATGTTTGTCAATAAAAGGATAATTTTTTTAACCTATTTGCCCTTCAACTTGTTTTAGAAACGTGATAATCTAGTTGTTAGACTGTCCTCCTCCCCCCCCCCCGACTTTATACTGTTGAGATATATTCAGCATTGATGTATATTTTTCTCTTGCCACGATATGACTGATATACTGCCGATTCGACCAGAAATCTAAACTCACTCATTAGGTGTTTTAATTTTCAGATCTGTGTTCATGCCTCGTCATACTCTCTGTCACGACACGGCGCCATCTACGCCGCAGACGAGTTACAACATTTGTCACTATTACTCTGCCTTCTTCATCAAATCTCTGCCTGTCCAGACAGTTACCTTTGTAAAGACAAGAAAACGCTAAGTAGAATTATTTTAACAACGATATATTTTGTGTGTTTCCATTACTAATCATGGGTTACAGAGCTGCGCCTTTGGCGTTTGTGACACCCAGTGTAGATTGTGTGTTCGAACTCATGTTTCATCCTGAAGATTCCTGGGTTGTTATAAAGATCCATAGAACGTTGCCAAACCATGACATTACTTCGGGTAATGCTCACTGGCTAACCTAACCATTACACATTGTGACAGAATTGTTCACATTCTTCAAAACAAAGGGGAAGGAGGCGGTGTTAAAGGATCAGTTGTCGCAGACATATATATGAAACCATCCAACGTTCCATGACTTAATGAATATCCATTCCCTACACAGGTAAACCATCACATCAAATCAGCCGACTCCTGAAACAACAGGCAGGCATTGATACAACCTTCTCAGCGTCCTCCAGCCTCAACAACCTCCTCCATGCCAACGGAAGAAAACAACCCGCCGTCAACAACAACCGAACCGAACAACCCGAAATGTGTTATTTCTAAAATAAACAGTGATTGTGGACAAAGCTAAATAGGTGAAACATCCCGACCAATCAACACCCGAGACAAAGAACATCGCACCTCTGTTGCTAATTCCGACACCAAATCAGCTATCTCTGACCACATCAAAGCAAACCCCAAACATCAAATAGAGTGGTCCGACTTGACCATTCTCGCCAACAACCAAACGGACTTCACTAAACGCAAGCTCACCGAAGCCATTCACATCAAAAGCCATAAGCCCACCATCAACCGTGACCAAGGATACTTCATTCCATCAGCTTGTGATCCACTCCTTCACCAAGCCCAATCTATTGTATAAACATCGCACCTATTGTATAAACATCTCCTTCATTGTACCACTCCTGTATTTATACATCTCTGGCTTCCATTCACTATCCTTTGTGTACTCACTGGCGTCATCAGCTTACTGCTTAACCAATTATGGCAATTATGTTGTTTCCTTTGTCAATTACAATGTATGCAGTTTCATTGTTATACACAGTATAAATATGCAGCTCCTCCACTTCATGTATCACTCTTGCTTGACGACGGTACAAGAATCTGTATCGAAACGTCGCACTCACGAAATAAAGAAGTTGTTATCCATAAAAACTTGTTCCATATTGTAACATATATACTTGTATCCCGGGCTGGTTAAAGCGTTTTGGGGGATATCTGTCTCTTCAAACTCAGAAGTCCATCAGTGGGTCCACAACACTTTATTCGGCAGCTAAGTATGTAACATGATAGTGCAGCAACGGCCAGGCAGCATCACAGATGCGATCGTCGGCCCACCTGCCTAGCCGCTGTCCGAGGGTCAAGTCCCGTTACATTAAGAATTCATTGTCTATATACTACTGCCTGTCAGGCTGCCCTGTATCATATTACGATACATGTATGGTCAACCTGCAGTATCCAGCATGCACCTCATCCACAATGTTAAACTTCCGTGGCCAACCGGCCATACTCTAAAGTTCATTATGGTTAATTACACGCAAGCAGCTGACCTGTACATGGCTGTACTGATGGTCATGATAATAAGCTGCTGATATTTCATGTATATTGTCAGCACTGTGATTTAGATTTAGATAACACATTTTTAACTTAACTCAGAGAATATACAAACATGTCTATCTTTCCCGATACAACCCATACCCCATCAACGTGCCTACGACACTTGTATGCAAATCATGTGATGGTACTGTATGTGTAGGCCACGCTTCCCCTTTCCGCAAACGCCTGGTCTCATAATGATTTGCAGTGTTTAGGGACCATTCATAATTTATGGATGTGGGGTGTGGGGTGTTGGGTGTGGTGGATGTGTGATTATTGTATGGAGGGGTCACGTATCTTGTTCTAGGAAGGTCGGGGGCACATTGATAGATCATTAGTTTTTTACATAGTGTTCCCGTTGTGACGTAGCACGGAGAGGACGTGGTATTATCACCTTCGACTATTTTCGGACTAATGGGAACCCATCTGTGACCAACAACTATATGCAGCGGGGTCACTTCCTTTGTACATAAATTATGGGGGTTGGGGGTGGGGGGTGGTCATTCACGTTGTCCATATACTAAGCAGCAAAAGAAACGACAGTTTGGAATTTTCCTTCGCGGAAACGGATAACTGTAAACTCATTTAATGTTTTGATTGCATATTTTTGACAACATCTCGAACTGTACCTGAACAAAGACATTCCTCCCCAAACTCTGAATTGAACCCAGGCAAAAAACGCAGCCTGATCTCGGAGATGGTACGGTGTTCTCCATCATTTTCATGCAGCTCATGCTGCACGTGCTGTTTCCAAGGACCAGCCCTATAAAATGCACCCCGAACCTGGTTGAAACATTCACATAACAACGTCAGCAGGATGCCGCGACTCATGACAGCTCAGAGGAACCAGGCGCTAGGAAGACTTAAAGCTGGCCACACTGCACTTCCAGGTCAACGTTCGGACAGGCTGCAGCAACGTTTCCGGGCCAACAACACCACAAATGATCGCCCCCGTACTGACAGACCAAGGGTCACCACAAGACGGCAAGACCGCCATGTTGTGCGACAGCATGTACAGAATCCCTTCAAGCAGGCATCCGAAACAGCAGCCAGACAGTGGGAACACAATCAGTACTGATACAGTACGCCGACGTCCTAACACCGGGAACCTCCATTGCCGTAGACATTACCGTGGACCTATCCTCACCCCTTGTCATCCTCAAGCCTGCAGTTTGCCCTACAACACAAAAGGTGGCGATACAGGCAATGGAGAACTGTTCTGTTCAAAGATGAGAGTCGGTACTGCGTATCAACTGCAGATGGCAGAAGAAGAATATGGCGACGACGTTATGGAAAGAGACTCATGGGGAGGTGCAAGCATCATGGTATGGGGTGGAAATGGCCTGAACCAGAGAGTGGGTCCTGAGGTGTTCCAGAACCTTGGTCCAGGGAGAGAAGGCGGCATCACAGCGGTGCGCTACGTCGACCAAGCTCTCAGACCACGTGTCATACCACATTTCGCACGTCACCTGAGCAACATTTCCCAGCATGATAACGCCGGGCTCATACTGCCAGAGCTACTTCCTGCAGCAAAATGGTGTCAACATTATGCAGTGTGCTGATTTAAACCCAATTGAACATCTTTGGGATGAACTTCAGAGGAGACTGAATAATGTCATAGCAAGGCCGAACACAGCCGATTTATTGCGCCAGGCCTTTCTCAGAGTGTGGTTCAAGGTGCCAATGGCCATCATCAACTGTGCTGAGTTATTCATTGAAGTGTCAAGATATTGTACACAAAAAATGTTTTTCATCCGCTTATTATGTCCATTTCTGTAATGAAATGATTACAGTGCCTATCTGATTTAGAATTCGTACTGACGTTTTGTTTGCTGCTGAGTATATATGCTTCTCCATAAAGCCATAAAAATCATTCCCCTTTCATACTGTGTTTGTCAATTGAACAATAAAATGTTTAACCTATATGCCCTTAAACTAGTTTTATAAACATTGTGATAATCTAGTTGTTATACTGCACCCCCCCCCCCCGACTTTATACTGTTGAGATATATTCAGCATTGATGTATAGTTTTCTCTTGCCACGATATGACTGATATACTGCCGATTCGACTAGAAATCTAAACTCACTCATTAAGTTTTTTAATTTTCAGATACTGTGTTCATGCCTCGTCATACTCTCTGTCATACGACTCATCGACGCCGCAGACAGTTACAACACCAGCACATTCTCTGCCTTCTTCATCGCTCCTGCTGTCCAGACAGTTACCTTTGTAAGACAAGAATAACGCGAAGTAGAATTATTTTAACAATGATATATTTTGTGTTTCCATTACTAATCATGGGTACAGAGCTGCGCCCCTTTGGCGTTTGTGACACCTAGTGTAGATTGTGTGTTCGAATCCCTGTTCATCCTGAAGATTCCTGGGTTGTTGAAAGTCCAAGAACGTTGCAAACCATGCATTACTTCGGGTAATGCTCACTAAGCAACCTGACACATTGTGACAGAATTGTTCACATTCTTCAAAACAAGGGGAAGGAGGAGGTGTTAGGGATCAGTTGTCGCAGACATATATATGAAAGCATTCAACGTTCCATGACTTAAAGACATTCTAACTTGCGTATTATCAGTCAAAATGCCAATAGAGAATCTGTCTCGGTTTGGGAGGTTGTGTTATTAAAACATCCTGAGAGATATCCTGATGTCCATAAAGTGTTTTCAGATTTACCGGTGTAGTATTGATGTAGTGATGTAGATATTTTACAAATAAAATACCCACCGTTGGCTTGAGTCATCATCCAGCTGTATCCATAAGTCCAGTTGCTGATTGCATCGTATCCTCATCCTCGAACCAAACAATGACGATGATCTAGAGAAACCTTGGCACAGATGTCTCGATTTGAAAAGTTACAAAAACTATATCCCGAGCAAATGAACATATTAATGGTGTATTCTTTCAGCTGTTTGCGATGTTGATGCTGCTCCTGGAGAGGAAGAAAGGCCTCATCACTTCCGGGGTGATGTTCACCTTCTGGCTGATGCTCACAGTGGCTGGAGTTGTTCCCTTTTACTCGATCATCATAACAAAGGTATGTAGCAGAAACACTAATAACAATTCAATGTCTGAACCGAAACATTGGTGTATGTATTGCACATGTAAGCAATCCTGTCCAGTATGTTAACTAGGACGTTATCTGGCAAAATCACACACCTGTACTATCAGAACACCTGCTTATTCCCCCTTCCTGGATTCCAAAGCACCAAAATTATCAGTAGAAAACGTCCCATATTGCCCAATCCATCCAGTGTACCAAACACCAACAAATCAGGCCGTACAGTATTAACCATAATCATTAATACAATCCAGATCTGGATGTGATCGTCCTGTCGTTAAGGGGTTACTTACGGTATCGCTTTCTGACTTGATACAGCATGCCCTGGGAAGCTTGGTAGCAGGTTTCGTATATGCCCTAGGGTGTAACGAGAATTGTGTTTTCTGAAATAACAACACGAGCAGCAAACGTACCACCAAACATGTACATGACGAAACAGTGCAATTAAACTATTAGTGAATGACATTGGTGACAACAAATTCCCTACTGAAGCCCAAATGAGTATGTTGAAGCCAAGCAATTCCCCACTGAAGCCCTATAGAGTATATTAAAGCCAAGCTGTACCGAAAGTCAGACAGCGACCGGGAATTGAGAGCCTTCTTTTACGACTTAATGACAAACACGAATGGGACTATCACTTGAAACGTTGAAATCTGACAAAGAATTCTACCTTCTGAAAAAAGCTGCCACTATGTTTCAGCAATACGAGCAAAACATGCTCAAAGTTGTAACCTTCTACATATACTACGGGCTAGTGCTGTTACAGCTGATCCTGAGTTGTTGTGCAGAGACAACAGAATTGGCTACCCAGGACAAGGTATGACCTTGAATATTAGTCACGATGTACAACTACAGAGACGTTCTAACGTGGGTTCCTCTAGTCATCCGCGTCATATTACAAAAACAGTGGCAAAAGCCTTTCCATACCCACAAGACATCTGGAGTCGATTATACGATTCAAGCTATGTTGAATATATGTATGTAAATAAATCGTTTTACCTAACGTATAGCAGCGGCTAATGCAGACCAGCTAAGTAACATAAAAGGATATGAAGATAAAGGGCCCATCGATAATATTACCTCTTATAGCAGATACATTGAAGTTCAGTTAAGGTCCGGCTTCATTTGGGCCATCTGCAATTCATTTCTTAATGACTAATGATCACTGACTTGGTTGATGTAACTCATGAACCATTTCGGTAGATGGTCATGATGTCAATATCTGCCTTATCTGGTTCAGAAATATTTATTGACAGTCCGCCCACATATAGCTGGAATATTGCTGAATGCGGCGTGTAACAACAAATATATATGTATTACGATTTTCATTCTGTCTATAAAACACCAATCGTTCCTACTTCCAGGAACCGTGTCCTGAACTGAGGGCTTCCTTTCTCTCAAGGATCACCTTTTGGTGGATGAACAGGTCACACTACATAACATTATATATGCAGTAGTTGCTTTAACTAGACAATATTTTTTCGATCACAAATGAGTGTGTTGTGTGTGGGATGAAATATGGCTCTTTGGAATTGTTTGCTTTTGTAAAGAAAGAGAAGAGACATGCTAAAGTTTTAGAGGTTCCATTCTTTTGGGTGGGGATTGAATATGAAGGTACTGACAACTAAAAACCGTTTCCTTGAAAACTGTGAAATGTGTCAATATGAGTGAGTGGATGGGTTTAATAATATTTTAGTAATATTCCAGTAATATCACGACAGGGGACACAAGAAAAGGGCTTCACACATTGTACCCGCGTACCACTAGACTATCCATCGCCCCTGTGTCAATATGAAGGGGAGCTAACTGGCTTCCTAGTAGATTAACTAGCATGACATGACATTACTTCCTTCCTCACTCTCAAATGTCCAAACTGTTATTCTGGTTTGGAGGAATATATAATATCTGGAAAATGCAAATAGCATTGAAGATGAGGATCCGGGTTGGAATTGGTCTTCAGCAATCCATGCTTGTCCTAACATGAAAGGCGACAAACGGGATCGGGTGGTCAGACTCGCTGACTTGGTTGACACATGTCATTGTATCCCAATTGCGAAAATCGATGTTCATGATGTTGACCACTGGATCGTCTGGTCCAGACCGCCGCCATGTAGCTGATATATTGCTGAGTGCGGCGTTAAACAACAAACATCCAAACAAAACAACAACTGGAATTCTGACATTTGTAATTTTTTACATTAGCTTATTAATGAGAGGATACCGGAAGGCTTTGACAGAAACAGACATCTGTGATATTCATCCCGATGAATCTTCCGCCCATACCGTATCTCGTTTTCTGCCGCGGTGGACGAAAGAGATAAACAAGTCCAAAAGAAGGTAATGCATTTTGTTTCATTTTGCTGACAGACAGTGTGATATCAGTGGAATGTGACAACCAAACTCAAACTATTAGAGAATGCCATATAGCACCGAATTATGAATTATCTGTCCTTAAGGAATACATTTTAGGATTTATCGCGGGATCAAGTGACAAATAATTCCGCCATTAGGTGTGGAAGCCCCGATGGTGAGCGGCTCAGGCGGCTGACTTTGTGTGCTGGCGATTAGGTGCCTGACTCTGAGGGTGTGGGTTCAAATCCCGGATGGGACTCAACCCCAAAAGTACTAGAATCTGTACTTTACTAAGAAAGTGTAATCCCAAACATAACATATGTTACATAATCATGACGCCAAAAACAATTGGGGGACATCTTCTTCACTTTGGGGCACCAAAACGTCCGTATGACTATTTGTTTCTAGGGGTCCTTTTGCAAACAGTGAAGACAAAGGAACACTATGAGGAACTGTGAGAATTGCTGAAAGCAATATTATCGGTACACACGAGCATTAATTAAGCACCACCTGCATACATGGTCATTTTTAAGATGTTGGTTCTGATAGGCGATCTAACCCCAGCATACTGAAAATCACAAACTTCACACAAAATATCAAAAACTTTAGGTAGTTTGTTCACATGGTGTAAAGATAACAGGCATATTGGGGCATTACCTGTTTTAATAGACGACAGTACTGAAAATGAACTTGGCTTCACATAACAATACAAAGACGTTCCGAAAATACACGTTATTAGCATGCATGACACAGGGATGCCCTGTCGCAAAATCGATGCTAACTTTAACATTAACCACACACAGTTAATGGTCGAGTTGTGAGGAAACACGTGGCAAACGGTGAAGCAAAGGATCTTCCTAGAATTTGATAAAGGTGGAAGACTGATAACCTTCATGGCCGTGTCCTAATTTCACAAATGTATCTTTACCTGAATGGGAAAATGTGAATATATTTTCTTTTACAGAACTAATGCAAGAGAGCGAGGAGACAGCAAAGTGTCATATTCTACAACACTTAACGACTCTCTCAGCCTGGATGCTGCTAATGAGAAGTCTCCTTTGTTGATGAAAGATAAGCCGATGGGAATGAAAGAAGCGGATGTGACATCCAATAAAAACCAAGTGTCCCTAACATGGACACTGTGGAGGACGTTCTGGTTCGACATAATACAGTCTCAGCTATGGAGGCTTGTGAGCAGTCTGATTAGGTTTGCCAGTCCTTTAATACTTGGGTACGTATTGCTGCTGTGTCAGTTACTCAGTAAACCTTTGCTTTGGCATTCGATTTGAAGAACGAAAACAGTCAAAACGAAAGTGAAGGATGCTTTCACACACAAAACATCACTTTCTTGTTTCAAGCTTAGATTAGTGGGGCATGGTGGGCGAGCTGGCTAATGCGCCAGGCACAAGTGATCCAGCGAGCTTTAGGTATCGGGATCGAGCCCACCTGTGACCGGGTGTAAAAACCTTGGAGTCAACTTTGTGTGCAGACTCTTTCAGTGTTGTCACAACCCCTAGTGTACAGTACACAACCATGTATACTTTTAAAGAATCCATGAATCCGTTGGTATATGACCAGATGGTGGCCAAATGAATACATGCAAACACCTAGTTGCGGGTACAGCAACGTGCAGTAAACTTGGATAAAGTACTGTGACCATGTGTCCCAGTCCACCCAGCTGTGAATGGGTACCTCGTAAGGATGAGAAAGCCGCATTAACTCGGTGCGCCTAGCGGCTGGAAGTGTTGTATGAATCCCGGGGAGTTGAGATTGATAAACGATGTGCCGTTGAGACTGGCATCCAGTAATCGAGGGGAAAATTGTCGGCGCCTTGAGCATGTACTATATACATGGATACGTGCGATATATAAATATCCTATAAAAATAATAATTAATTTCAATAAACTGACACATATGTAAGACCTTAAAAATGAGCAAATGAAAAATTGCATCTCATGTTCTGAAGCATGCATCGTCGTTGGTGACCGTTGCCGTTATTAATCTACTTTCGTTAACGGTTTCCCCAAACCTATCGAACATAACTGTCCAAGATTTTGTTTATGCACAGCTTTAAACACACACACTTTACCTCGGTCAGAACGGCCAAAACAGTCTATTTGGAACCTAAACATAGTTCTGTTAGAACATCAGGAACTTTCAGCAAACGATTTTCTCTGAAAACTGTTTTCAAGTACACATTGTTCTTTTCAATATTTCAAGTACACATTGTTCTTTTCAATAAAATACCAGACCATCCCAGCGATATCAAATGGTCTGCCCATAGAGAAATATACTAACATTGATCGCTATGTATTTTAGCCAACTCGTTACCTTCACAACAGACAACTCTATACCCACGTGGAAAGGCTATGTGTTGTGTGCTGGTCTTTCTATCGCCACGTTAGCTCAGACAGCCTTTTCTCAAGCTAACTGGCACCAGTCGAGGAAAGTGGCACTGCGGATTGCTGCTGTCACTATATCTGCAATCTACAGAAAGGTATAACTACTATGTACCCTCACAAAACTGAAGTATTGAACATGATACAATCTTAATGATAAATCAAACCAAAACACGTGTGCTTTACGAACGAAACAAAATCTGTTTCTCAGATGAAGAATTATAATTATTTTACTGATGGGGACCTCAGGATTTTCGTAAGGGACAATGTTACACAAATGTAGAAGGTAAACTATTACCTATTTGATTTACCATCTAATCATCTTAATTTAACTGCAGATTATTACCGTCCGACCTTATTTCCACATAAAGTACTTTCTATACCATAATCATACATATATAATATAAATGTGTTGTAACTTTATAGTGGTCCTAGACGTACGCTTAGTCTTTGAATATATATAATCTTGATAGACAAAAGTCCTTTTAAATTAAAAAGGAGCCCCGGTGACATTCAGAACCGGGGCAAATCTACATTTAGGGCTTTAGCATTGCAGAAAGGGCTAGGCGGAAGGGAAAATAGTGTGGTTCATGGACTGTGAGACAGACTCATAGTGGTCTTTAATACACCCGTTTCTTATATGCCATTGTGTACTATCAGCATACATGTAAGAGGTGTCTAATGGCCCAGGTTTGAGAGTCGTGCCAGGAAGCTGTTTAAACTAATTGTTCCTGTTGTTGTCATGACCACATCCGTGCTCGCAGGTTTCAGTGGGGGCTTCTGCCATCATCTATTCCTTCCTCATAAATAAACCTGAAATGCCATAGCATAACAAATATACTGCTAAAAGAACGGTTAACCAATGTCATCACATAACCAAAATACTGCTAAAAGGCCAGTTAACCAAGTCCACTGACCTACGTATAAAACCTTCTTCATCGTTTTCCAGTCCTTAAAGATGAGCAACAAGGCCAAGAAAGAGTCGACAACAGGTGAAATTGTGAACCTGATGTCTGTGGACGTAGAACATTTACGGACGTTCATATTCTGGGCCTGGGAATCATGGTCACATCCTCTGAAAATTGCCATTGCCATGTACCTCCTGTATCAGTCTCTGGGAGCATCCATGTTCACTGGGATGGGGGTGTTGCTTGTGTTGTTGCCCGTCAACGTTGTTGCCACGTTACTGTGGAAGAAGTACCAGGCTGATCTGATGAAGCAGAAGGACAGGAGGATGAAGATTATGAATGAAGTACTCAGTGGAATAAAGGTAGAATTATGACATGAAGTGGCGTCACAAGTAAGAAAATCAGAATCAAGTATACCATCAACTGTACTCAAATGATACAAAGATGCTCTGTTCTGCTTCATTTCTAATGGTCTACTGTATAAATGTCATATCTTATTTCACAAACTGCTGCTTGATTAGTGAGATTCCAAATGCGGAATATACCTGCATGCTTTATGAACCAGATTCTAAAACTATACGCCTGGGAACCGTCTTTCCAAAAGAAGATCCTTGAAGTCCGGAAGCAGGAGCTGCACATTCTGTGGAAGATCTCCCTAATGCAGGTTTTCACCACCTTCTCCTGGACGCTTACTCCGTACCTGGTACGTCAACCAACTACTATTTCAACACACTAGTCTGATGCTAATGCTTGATAGTATTCAATAAATCCCTATCTAGTATGTCTATGAACTATAGACTACACTAATGCTTCAGTAGTGATACTTTCAACTAAAGTCCTATTGTGTACGTCTATGAACTATCATTATAACACAAGGCTGCATGATGCTATGTGAAACACAGCTGGTTGATATATGGGTTTAGTAAGCCTCATAATTGCCTGCATGAGTGATACGAAAGTCATATTGGGTATGTCTATGAACGATCACTATAACACAAGGCTGTATGATGCTATATGAAACACAGGTGGCAGATGTGGATTTAGCAAACCTCATAATTGCCTGTATATTGCCTTTTGGTTGTTGTATCTCATACTAAATGTCTCGGGTTCACTCCTGTTTGATTGAAAACGATACCATGCGCAGAAGTCATGCAAATACATTTTTGAAATTGTTCAAATGTTTGTCAACACCTGTGTTGGCCACATTTGTCCAGTATCTCACCTGAAAGCCATCAGTTGACTCACTCTAACATAACTGATAATCTACATCATGCTTCACTGAGGTAAGTTTCAGGGCCCACTTGCACAAAGCGATCTTAACGCTACGTCTATTTTAAGAGAATGGGAGTTACAATCATTGCAGCCCTAAGATCGCTTTGTGCAAGTACGCCCTGTAGATGAAAGTATTCCATTTCCGATCACATTGCTATGGCGCATGTATGATCATTATTATTTAATTGCTCCAATTTTATAATCAGCATCATTCTTGTAATAACGTTTGCTATACGTTGTATACTTCGCAGGTGTCGTTAGCTATGTTCGCGACATATATCTTCACATCAGAAGATCACTATCTGGGACCGGATGTCGTCTTTACAGCCATATCACTCTTAAGCATCGTCAGACTAGCGGTCGTCAGTTTACCCTCTTTCTTCTCAGATATGGTTCAGGTAATTTTGTCCTTCTGACCATTTTGAAATATAGTACTGTCGTACTTTTGAAAGTGCTTGTATACACTGGCCTAAACAGAAGATGTCAATGTACCAATCACTGCTTCATGATCAATTGTTTTACAATTTCAGGCGATTGTGTCGCTGAACAGAATATCGAAGTTCCTCAATGCAGACAATTTGGACGAGACCCAGATACAGTGGAACTCCACACAGGGTCTGTAGTGGTTTACTAATTACATGATATGATATCATGCAACTGAACGCTTCAAAAGCGAACGTGTGATATTTGGGGATGGCTTGGGGTGATAAAACTGGAATAAGAAAAAGCACAACCTTAACTTGACCGGATGACATAATGAATATTATCCTAGAATACCCAGGAGGATGAATACATGACGTTTTCAATGTTCTAATCCCTTGGCATTATTCCCATCTTGTACCATAAGGATAGTACGTGTATGTTCTGTAAGAAATGATGAAAATATATTCTCCATTTGTTCACACGAACATTCACTATCTCAACCAGATCCCGCAGTGAAGATTACAGACGGGTGTTTCCAGTGGTCTTCTGAAATGGGACCAGCTCTCACAAAGTAAATAGTCTACATACCTTTCACTGTCAACTAAAAAACGTTTGTCGACTTCGAGTTCATATATTTCTCAAATATGTTTTGAGTTTTCTATTTGGAATTTATACAAGCAAGAATATTTGTCAGCTGCCACAATCTGAAACTTAAAGAACGTTTTCTTTTCAGTATTAACTTGACAGTGAATGAAGACCAGCTTGTAGCAATCGTAGGTCAAGTTGGATCGGGAAAATCTTCTCTTGTATCTGCAGTATTAGGCGAGATGAACAAGGTCAAGGGCTATGTCAGTCTAAAGGTTTCTATTTTCTTTCATTTTCTATTTTCTTTAATATTGTGTTGGACGTAGAAATCAAATCAATCAAAGTAAAATATTTCTACTCTTGCCTTATTGCACACATGCTGACTCATTTGTATTTCCTGGCAGAGTCACATCGCTTACGTACCACAAGTTGCGTGGATCCAGAACGACACCCTGCAGAACAACATTCTGTTCGGGAAGCCCATGGACAGACCGTGGTACAACAAAGTAGTGGAGTGCTGTGCTCTGACTGCAGACCTGGAAATGTTACCAGCTGGTGATATGACAGAGATTGGGGAGAGAGTGAGTGTCTTGTGGTAGTGTGTACTCCGGAGTAGAACAGGCCGGCAATATCATATGCTTATTATTAGGTTGAGTCTTAAACTGGACTTTTTGCCCTAAACCACTAGCATTAAATCGCAATGTGCTATGTGAACTATTTTCATTTATGGAAGCGTGTTGACTACAGATTTTGATAAATCATTTTAACTTTTATCGGTGATATGTAACGGAAATAGTGCAAAGAGGAGGATATGACATGCGCTCAGAGTATTATTGCTGTAGGGTATCAATTTGTGCGCGGAGGACGGAAGCAGAGAGTATCTCTATCCAGAGCTGTCTACTGTGCCCTGGTTCTTGTATTAGCTTTCCTATCATGACTTAACTGGTGTGGATTACAGAAGCAGATTATCTCTAGCCAGAGCTCTCTACAGCAGAGTGGATTGTATTGTATTTGTTTCTTACCTTGTCATCAGGGTATCAACTTGAGCGGAGGACAGAAGCAGAGAGTGTCTCTGGCCAGAGCTGTCTACAACGATGCTGACATCTACCTGCTGGATGATCCACTCAGTGCTGTTGACAGTCATGTGGGGAAACATATCTTTGACAATGTCCTCAGTAGAAAAGGACTGCTTGCTGGCAAGGTAGGAACGTATTATACTACGTGTTTCAATCGATGAATAAAATGTGATTCACCTGAGCAAGAAAAACTCCATTTAGTCCATTTATTTGACACATATCACAACAGACTAATAGATGTTGACAATATACACTGAATTTAAAACTGATAATATGGTCATTCTTGATAATCATTTTTATGGAGTCTGGGAAGCCTGATCCTAGTATCATCTGCCTTGATATTTGAGGAATATTATGCTTACAGAATAAACGCGATGCTCATTTGCTTGCTCAGCCATATGAATAGGCTGCATGTTCGGTGGACTAATGATTTTCATCTGTCCCATCCAGACTCGTGTCTTGGTCACTCACGGCATCCACTGGCTCCCAGAGGTGGACTCCATCCTTGTGATGACCCGTGGTCAGATGTCAGAGACAGGGACGTATGAGGAGCTTCTCCAACATAACGGGCCCTTTTCTGAATTCCTGCAGAAGTATCTTCTTGAGAGCAATGATTCCGATGTCATCGATCCTGAATGTAAGTTGGACATTCCACAGGTATTCTATATTTGTGCCATGAAAATGAGTGGAAATTACGATTAACGTTACATTACAGCGTAATATGCATCTAATGATATCAACCAGAAGGCGATTCTTGAATTACACGTACCTGACTTTGACATTGCTATTTAAACAGTAACTGAAATAAAGAAGAAGGTTCTCCAGAGAATGGAATCGGTGAAATCTGGCGAGGAGACAGATGAAGAGAGTGTATCTCTAATGTAAGTTTGTGGCACATTTTTCAGAAGCAGTCCTCGAACATATACTTCCCATCAAACGTTTAGACTCACTAGTGTATATATAGCCACTTACTTCAGGCAAGTGTTCTAAACTAAATTTTGCAAAACATTCCATGCTGTTAAAAGCTACTGTTTACACATTAACTGATGTGTTGTAAAACAAATTCGTAACGTTATAAAAAGGTTATTTTCATGAGTTTAATAAATGATGAAACTCAGTGAAAATTGGTGAATTCTTAACAAAACTTCACACCAAAACGCAGCTGTTCACATGCATGATATTTGCACATACTTTTCAGCAATTTGGTGCATGATCCTCGTGCAATTCATCTGCAAAAGGTTTGCAGTTGGTTCCCCTAAGTTAGTGGACAAAGTCATTTTCGACGTTACCACATATATATACATATAGCGAGTGCTTTAAGTGAGTCTAAGTTTTGATGGGTAGTATATATATATAACAAGATTAATATATATAATACTACCTAAAAACAACAAATTGCTTTCTGCAATTATAACAACTCTCCAGTATAAGCGGAGCATGCAGTTGATTCTAACTATTTCTTAGTTAGGTGTTTATAAATCAACATGAAACAGTGATCATATTAAGTGTTTTGCGAGCGTAACACTCGCTCCCGAGCGTACTTGAACATGGATGTTACCCGTCACAACCATGACAAATTAAACTTGAACAAACATGGGAATATATGGTCTAAGCCGGATTTGAATCAGACATTTCCACTGATTTGTCAAATGTTTTAGGAGCAACATTAGGAAGTGTTGCTTCGGCATTGAATGCTGAAACCCCGAGTAAACAATACATTGATACTACTTCTGACATAGTCCATCAACTGAATTTAATTGTTTTAACGTTATTGAACGATACTTTAGGAGTCTAGGAAGCATGATGTTTATCACCTGAGAGATCCCGATATCATGTATATATCATATAGAGAAGGGGACTGCAGACGCTACTTCTGGCCAAAATGTCTTGTCTTGTCTTTGATATAGTTAGGATGGCGTGTACCGGTTCATAGCACAGTAAACACTTCAAGACAAACATGTAACTATTCACACTTTAAGTGACAAAAGCACAACTCATCTAGGAATGAAGTTATTCCTGAAAGCTATAATGTTATTTTTTGAGGATGCAATATATAAGGTGGGTTTTCATACATTTGACCACTACAGCATTAGCAAACCTACCCAAAACCCATGTAAACGTAGTTATCATCCAAAACTGTGTTCCACAGGAGATATTGCTTGTGTGAGATCATACGATATCTCCTGGCAGATATCGTTTTGACAGTAGGGTTTGTACAATGCCATGACAATGCTATGACGTCATTAACCTGATGACGTTACAATGCTATGACATCGCTGCACTGCACGTTTAATGGCAGTACAGTGTTCAGAGATGGACATTTCCCTTTCAAAACTAACGAAGAATGATTGTTGATGATAAATAGAATCTCACCCTCGTGTCTACTGATATCAATTATATCAACACACGTTGCCTCGGATATTTGTTACTTTATCAACTCGTGTTTATATAATTGACATCAGTAGACACTTGGGTGATTCTCTATTTACCACTAGTTCCACCTAAACATACATTGTGTTCGCGTGTTTAACATGCAAGTGTTACAGGAAGTCCCTGATGAAAAGCGTTGAGGCGAAAGAAGTCAAAGTTACGAAAGAGAAAGAACCTGTAGGAGAGAGCAGTAAACTGATAGAGGAAGAACAAGTGGAGACTGGCAAGGTGTGTATTAATCTCATTTAATCCTCTTATGGCTTAAATGGTTATCAGTCTGTTTATACAGGCCGCTGTAGCATGGTAGAGGTTCTGTTTTATGACGTCCATAAATTCTTTTTTATGAAAATTATGTGAATGGCGGATGCTACCGGTAGGGTGGGACATGTTTACCATATTATGAGTGAGTGAGTGAGTTTAGTTTTACGCCGCACTCAGTAATATTCCACCTGGCGGCGGTCTGTAAATAACGACTCTGGACCAGACAATCCAGTGATCAACAGCATGAGCATCCACCTGAGCAATTGGGAACCGATGACATGTGTCAATCAAGCCAGCCAGCCTGACACCCGATCCCGTTGGTCGCCTCTTACGGCAAGCATGGGTTACTGAAGGTTCATTTTAACCCTGACCTTCACGGGTGGTGTGTGAGTGAGTTTACGCCGCTTTTAGCAATATTACAGTGGGGAACACCAGAAATTGGCTTCACACATTGTACCCATGGGGAGAATCGAACCCGGGTCTTCGGCTTGACGAGCGAACACACCGCCCCTTTACCCTTTTATGCAAACACTTGGTGTCATGTTATGTTAATGCAATTTCTATACGTTAATTTACCCAAATGTTCTTTTGCACTGACGTTTTACATATATTTGGATAGGGGCGATGTTTCTGCTTGTGTACTGAAGTCCCCTAGATTCATAAGTCCAGTAGCATTTTATCTAAGCTGAGGCAACTACAAAAGAAATGTTCTGTTTGAAACATTGATAACGACCACAAGTATGTTGTAAACACATTTCCATTGTGTTTTCCTTCACTTCTACGCAGCGGAGTCTATGCACGTCTACACAACACTCGTACATTTTCCTGGTCCGTCGATCACTTGATTGTCTGGTTTGTTCACAGCTCGCTGTTGCTTGACGTTCCTGCTTTGCGGCACCAGGCTGTAGATATTTACACCCGGTGTCATTACTGGTTATTTTTGTTCTGTACCAAATGTATAATATATATGATATAATGATATAAATAATCAAGTTTGGTCAAGTGATTTTCAGTAAACAGCCATGGTCTTGTTACAGATTACAGCGAAAGTGGTTCTGGCATACGCCAAAGCTATCGGCCTTTGGATTGTTTTATTTTCTCTCGTCATGTACGCGTCTTTCCAAGCAATGTCAGTAACGTCTACCACATGGCTCAGTAAATGGACTGACGACATCTCCCTGAACAACCTCACCATTCTCCCGTCCAACAGCTCCGAGCGAATGGAGAAAAACAATTACTATCTAGGCATCTATGGGGTCTTGGGAGTGGCTCAGAGTAAGACATGACACCAACTGTGCTGAAAATATTCTATTACTGTTCTGTTGCTCTGTTCATCAGGCTTACATCATGTCGTGCTATATTGTTATAAATTATGAATATGTTGTATTATTGTAACTAATTTTCTGAGGTAGTCACAAGAAACATATTCAATCATCTTCTCAAATGTAAATGTTTTAATGTTATTGTTATTGTCATTTGGATCGAAGTTACACTTAATATATATCAACTTTTATGAACATTTGTTTTTCAGCTGTTTTCATCATGACATTTTCCTGTCTGTGGAACCTAAGGACGGTGAAAGCTGCAGGTATTCTTCATTTAAACATGCTGAGCAATGTTCTGAGGGCACCGATGTCCTTCTTTGACACCACACCTACGGGCAGGATTGTCAATCGGTTCTCCCAGGATATGGACACCATCGACACCAGAATGCCGAGTTTGGTTGAATACGCCGGTAACACCATGTTCCAAGTCCTCAGCAGCATCATCGTCATCTCCTACACCACGCCTATATTCCTTGTGGTAGTCATCCCCCTGGTCATTCTGTACGCCTTTATTCAGGTAAGCACAGGTATCACTGATTGCTGCCCTTACGTTGGTAATGCTAAGTTTCTTTCTAGTTTAGGTTCTGTCATCAAACAGGATTCAGTGAATAGCGTAACGCAGCAGTGATGTGTTTTTGTGTCTAATGAATATATTTGTTATTTAATTCCATTGTCATGCAGAAACCAAGGGCAACAACAATACAGATTTAAAGGTCTCAGAGACCTATTTGTCATGAGATGATTTTCGCTTCAGTGACTCCAGATAGAATTCAGCCTTAACGCGATATTCCTGAAATTCCATAATCAAAACTATGTGATCTTGAAATAATTTGCACCATAACTTCACAAAATCATATTGTCAAAGATTGCGCTCTAAACTATTACATCAAGAAATACATGTATGAGAAATCAAATTATGTTTCACCAAACAAAGATACACACAAACTTACTTACTTCTTTTTTGTTAAGCGCTTCTACGTCACCACCTCACGCCAGCTCAAACGATTAGAGTCCAAAGCTCGCTCTCCTATATACAACCATTTCGGTGAGACATTATCGGGAGCCAGTGTTATCAGATCGTTCCAAGCCCAATCAAGGTTCATCAAGGAATCAGAAGACCGGGTAGACACAAACCAGAGGTTCTCCTCTTACGCCTTTGGTGCTCTCAGGTATGTGACAACGAAGTCCGATGCCAGTTTACAAAGAGCTACTCAAGACTACAACAGTCCGTTTGACTTCATGTGAGACCGATGAATTGCTCACTAACACAAAATTTAATAAATAAAACAAAATCAAACTTTGCACAGTCTCTTAAAATCGACAGACCAACTCTGATGATTTGTCTCATAATTTTGGATACCCGAATAAAATTGTTGTTTGCAACTTGATTTTGTTGCATTAGTTAGATTTGGTGTTAGTGAGCAATTCATCGGTCTCAAATGAAGTCAAACGGACTATACCTCTCACACAATGGCCATCAAAACCATTTTCAAGGAAGAGCAACTAATGACTTCATTTAATGCTGAATAAGCTGTTGAAGACATATCAGGGATTCTCCACACATCAGGATAGAATATAACACAACACATGTTATATTTGGTATTACACCTTTTCAGTGGTATAGAGAGTATAGTATTTTTGTTGGGTTGAGTCCAATCCGGGGTTCGGAAGCACACCCTCAGAGTCAGGCACCTAATTGCCAGAACACAAAGTCAGCCGCCTAACAAACTCAGTCACCGCGGCTTCCATTCATATGTCAGTATGTCAGTAGAATAGACAATCACATCATTGACAGCGTGTTGAAACTTTGAGACATATTTTACACTGTGTTCGTAGCACAAGGCATAATTGTGCCACTTTTAATTCGGTTACGATATTCTGAACATTTCGACCGCCATATAGCTGTAGTACTGCTTAGTGCGGCGTTAAACAACACACCAAACTGAACGTTTAGTGAGTGAGTGAGTGAGTTTAGTTTTACGCCGCACTCAGCAATATTCCAGCTATATGGCGGCGGTCTGTAAATAATCGAGTCTGGACCAGACAATCCAGTGATCAACAGCATGAGCATCGATCTGCACAATTGGGAACCGATGACATCTGTCAACCAAGTCAGCGAGCCTGACCACCCGATCCCGTTAGGAACGTTTAATAGGGCATCAATACCGATGTAACATTTCAGAAAGTTAACTTGGCTGAGCAATCGTTTCGATAGCATGTCCTTATATGCAAAGACTCATTTGCACAAAATGGTTTTTAGAAATATGCTTCTTATAATGTTAGTCGTCTTTCTTATTTAGGTTAGCTAGAATATTATCATAATTGGTTTGAGCCCCAGGACCTATATCACCTCTCTATAAAATATATATGGTACTGTATGCCGCAATCTGGCAGAAAGATAAAAAACTTGACCCGAACTAGTTATTGACCTGGCGTAGATTTAGGACAATCGTACGAAACCTTAGGGCAACGATAGTTTTGAAAAAAAAGGCAACGACAGTCTACTACTTTGTGTTAACTTTAGGAAAAACCTTTTGATAAATCTGGACCCAGATTCCCCCTGATTGGTATGCATAGTTTGTCTGCACCATACCTTTGCAGGTGGACTTCAATGACGTCTAAGTGATGTGTCCCTGATGTTCTTGTGTTATTCAAATGTCAAAAGTGGTGTTCACCAATCACAATCAGCCGTTTTTAATGTGTAATGTGTGTATTTGACAGATGGCAAGGTGTACGTCTGGAGGTTATCGGAAACATCATCGTTCTGGCCGCCTCCTTGTTTGCCGTCATGTCACGTGACACCCTGTCAGGAGGACTTGTGGGCTTGTCGATCTCCTATGCTATTGAGGTATGACATGCATGTTTCTTCGCGAAATCTATCAACACGTTTTGAAGTGTAGCATATCCTAGAAATATTAGGATCATTTGTCAAAAATGATAGCAAATACCCTGTGAAGTTTACTAAGAAAGTTACATGTGAGACCGTCGGCGTCCTCATAGATAGTATATATGCCATATATAAGTCATCCCTAATGGCATCAGTTGAGCTTCCTTAATGTTGATCTGGTTCTGGCATAAGAGTCGATATATGGCTCAAATAATGCAAAATTTTAACTCACTCACTTATGCATATGAACCGGAATGTCTGCTCACTTTGATTATGAGGTGTCACTTCAGCTTCAGGTATATCAATGCTTGATGTCCTTCTATAACAGTCAAAAAGCCAGTTTTCTTTCAGTGATTTGCTCACCTGAATTTGAAAAAAGAGGAGACCGGTGAAACCACCTGGTTTGTCCCTTATTCAGCCGTGTATTACATTGTACATTGTCTTCAGATAACCGCTAACTTGAACTGGATGGTGCAGCTGGTGTCAGAAGTAGAGACACAGCTCGTCTCTGTCGAGAGAGTAAAAGAATATACAGATATAGATTCAGAGGTAAAACCTAAAAACACTTCAAGCCTTGAAATTATTCACATACCCGTATGAAATAAGCATTAATTGAGGATTTTGTTATACATTTCTAAAACGTAACAAACAGACATCTTTTGATACTTTTTCTAATCAAACCTGACACTTATAGTGAATATAATTGTAATACTTATACTAGCCACCATGGAATATACCCGAGAGACGTCCAAATGATGACTGGCCAGACGCGGGGGTGGTGAAGTTCCTTGACTACTCAACTCGGTACAGAGAAGGCCTTGACCTTGTTCTCAAGGGAATCACGTGCACTGTGCATTCAAGAGAAAAGGTAAACTTTTATTGTTAATTACCGCGTGTTACTACCGTGTTTTAAGGGACCCTGCTTTACACATGGCAGATGTATCGAAACGTCCTTGTGTTAATTTTACTGACCATTGCATGATTGAAAGTTTGAGAACTTGCGTTCTGAAGTCTGAAGCCAATAGTGAGATACCTGTCTAGTCAGTATTAATACCTTTCACAGATATACTATCTGCGACACGATTCTTCTAAAGCCATATATGCTGGTACTATGTACATGGAACTAGTGTTAACAACGTCGTTAGGTCCCACATCTATGTACTATGACCAGGTATTACTTTGTTTGGTACGTGCCTCCAATTCAAGATGGATCTTATATACACATTTTCTTGTAAAATGTGTTATCCTTTGCACATCTGCTCTTCAAGTTGTGCTTAAAATGAGTGACTAGAACAGAGCGGGCGATCATTATTTTCACATGAGCAAACAACAGGTTTAAGGCACATTCACAAATCTGCATCCAGGTGGGCATAGTAGGCAGGACGGGAGCTTGGAAGTCCTCTCTGACTCTGTCCCTGTTCCGGCTCATAGTAGCTGCAAGAGGGATGGTAATTCTTTTTTTTTCAGGAACCAATACTTCTTTATAAATGTATTCTGCATCCAGGTGGGCATTGTGGGCAGGACGGGGGCTGGGAAGTCCTCTCTGACTCTGTCCCTGTTCCGGCTGATAGAAGCTGCAGGAGGAGAGATCAACATAGATGGCGTTGACGTCAGTACACTCGGGCTGCATGACCTCAGGAGCAAACTCACCATACTCCCTCAGGTAGGTTTGCATAACCTCAGGAACTACCTCACCATACTCCCTCAGGTAAGCCTGCATGACCCCAGGAACAAACTCACCATACTCCCTCAGGTAAGCCTGCATAACCTCAGGAACAAACTCACCATACTACCTCAGGTAAGCCTGCATGACCCCAGGAACAAACTCACCATACTCCCTCAGGTAGGTCTGCATAACCTCAGGAACAAACTCACCATACTACCTCAGGTAAGCCTGCATGACCCCAGGAACAAACTCACCATACTCCCTCAGGTAGGTCTGCATAACCTCAGGAACAAACTCACCATACTACCTCAGGTAAGCCTGCATGACCTCAGGAACAAACTCACCATACTCCCTCAGGTAGGTCTGCATAACCTCAGGAACAAACTCACCATACTACCTCAGGTATGCCTTTCTTGTCTCCAACACTTGAATCATACGGGTAACTGTTTCACATAATTTAAATCATAATAAAAACAAGTTTGAACTATGGAGTGATTATTATGGAGATTTACTTTGAAATGCAGGATCCTGTACTGTTTGCCGGAAGTCTGCGAGGCAATGTTGATCCCTTCAACCAGTATTCAGACAGTCAGATCTGGCGGGCACTAGAACATGCTCATCTGAAGACGTTCGTCGATACGCTTTCAGACGGACTGGAACACGAATGCAGCGAAGGAGGTGAAAATATGAGGTACGAGACATATCATTCTCTCTTGCTACTTTAGTATTTTCCTTTTCAAATGTTCCTGATGTTTAATTCAACGTGTCTATAGTAAGTGCATGTCTGCACATTAAACGTGATATTACTTTTCGGTTAACGTTCTGCCATATTTCAGTGTGGGTCAGCGGCAGCTTTTATGTCTGGCCAGAGCTCTCTTGAAGAAGACCAAGATCCTAGTATTGGACGAGGCGACTGCAGCCGTTGACGTGGAAACAGATGACCTGATCCAGCAGACCATCAGGTCAGAGTTCAAGGACTGCACGGTGCTTACCATCGCTCACAGACTCAACACCGTCATGGATTACGACAGGTTAGTGCTTTCCAGTTTTTGGTAATTATTGTAACTTTTCAGAAAATGCATCGATTTCCAAATGACTTAAATAAATAAAATGTATTTCAGTCGTTTTGTTAATACATATATTTGCAGAATCCTGGTCTTGGACAACGGCTGTGTATGTGAGTTTGACACACCCTCGGCCCTGTTACAGCAACCTGATAGCATTTTCTACAGCATGGCCAAAACCGCAGGGTTAACGACATGATACGAAACCATTGGATTTCATATGCTTTATCTTGATTATTTCAGCGACTTCACTTGAACTAGAAATATAAGCGACTGCTTTACAGCCTCATGTTTTAAATTAAAATCTATGAATAGATATGGAAAAGGTATCGCAACACTGATTTGTGTACAACGTGATCTGAGATGATAAGTTCTTGGTATGCGAAAATGCTGTTATGTCATTGAGGACTATTGCAAGACATCTTCGTTGCCATCCATCGATTAATAGTCGATTGGCCAGAAAACATCAGCGAGGTTTTGATATTAAGGATCGTCAACGATCAGGTCGACCGCAAGTGACAACTCTTATGGAGGATACAGCATTTCTAAGAATCCAGATCGTCGTTTGTCCAACAGAATGATATAAATCCATGCGACCTATTAGACGTTTCATCCTCAGAGCACAAAGCAGCACGAACAGCTTGGTGTCAAGCTTGACGTCACTGTAATTTGACATAATTTCTCTTGTTCATGATTGGCGGTATGTGAGTGATGTTCATTGATGCGGAGGCTGGGTGTTGACCTTGTGACAATGAGATAAAATCTGAATGGACAACGGTACATCACTGACATCCTGGACAGTTTTGTTGTACCACATATCGATGACCATACTTGGAGCACAAGGCTAACCTCCATGGAAAACAATGCTAGGTCACATCGTGCATGTGCCGTTGTTAATTTCTAACGTCCCAAGGTTAGCAACTCTACCTTGGCCTTCTAGGAGTCTAGATCCCAATCCTATAGAGCACATTTGGGACATAATAGTTCGCTCAGTACGCTAGTGAGATTCATCCATCATGCCTCAACATATCTCAACGTCAAATTCAACGTCAGATGCAGTCAATAAAGAGGAGGATCAGGGACGTTACTCCAGTTGGCGGATGCCGATATTGACATTGTCCTCGGTTATTGATACTTATCTTACCCCACACATAAATGTCGCTTTCTGATTGGCTGAGCGCTCTTCTATTATTTTCAATATACCCCGCTTACAAGCGAGTAACATTTCAATATACCCGGCTATCAATGGCAACTCATTTGGTACTTCGTGGTAGTAATTCTTTATCTCGAATACCACTGAATCACGTATGATGTACGGAAATTACCGATGTTTTGCGAATGCGAATCGGTGGAAGGTAACTCTAAATCTGTTTTTCTTCTCAGCAAAATCTAGCGATGGCTACAAAAAGATTTGTACCCGTGCATTAAGGTGTTCGGTAAGATAAATACGTCGTTCACTGGTCTCTCAGGGCCTTTGGGTTGATGTACCCTCGATGTTTGTTTATGTTTCCCTCGCCCTTCGAGCTCAGGGAACATAAACAAACATCGAGGGTACTTTAACCCATGTTCCCCTCGTGACCAGTGAACAACTTATATTATGTGATTTCTTAAGGAATGTTTTTGAGAATCGTGATAATCGCCGCACTTGTTAACGTCATACGACCATAGTTGTTTTGTTTTCTCATCGTTCCCATGGTTACATTCAGTTATTAATGTGTACAATTTAATTTCAGTAAAGTAAGCTGACACATAAGTACCGTGGCGGTATGTGTGTACATACATGTACATGAAAAAATAAAAGACAAAAGAAAACACCCAAATTATATAAAAATCAAACACTGAGTACTGGGTGTAGAGGGAACAATTTGTGGCCGAAATTGTTCATGTTGTATTTTATCGCAATAAATTAATGTTTTCCATTAAAGATGTCTTTTTTCTTAAATGTAACAAAGTCATTACATTTGGGAGTATATTTTACACCACATGAATAGATGTATTTTAGCAGCTGTTATTTACATGTCCAAAACCAGATCAGAGATTTTGCCAACAAGGGATGCCATAGGTTCGTTGGTAGTGTCACAATTTCACAGTTGTAGAAGTTAAACAAGGATTTTACACATTGTGCTGTATACTTTGTCATAGTATACTCAACAACAAAGAAACTCTACATATGTCCCAAACATACGCATAAATACTAATAAAGGGCCAAATGATATATAGCACGTGTAAAGAAAAGATTCTCAGAAATAATGGAACAAAGAGTGGCATCATAATGTTTAATGTGTTGACAAACGTGACACATCGTATAAAAAGTTCAAACAGCACAAGCAAACATCGGTTGTATAGACCAACTCCCCAAAATGAATATGACAAACATGAAGCACTCCATCATTCAATACCTTGTGTACTCTCCTCGCGCGTCCAAGAAACAGGTGCACCTTGTTCTCATCCTCCTTATCAAATTCATAAAGAAAGCTAGAGGAATCGCATTCCATTCCTCTGCTTGAGCTCTGCGGAGCCCTGGTGATCTAGTGGTGCTGGGTGATGTGTATACACACGTCGACAGAGTTCCCCCCAGGCATGTTTAATGGGGTCGAGGTCTGGCGAGCATGCTGGGCACTCCATCCGCTCTACATCCTGCTGCCTAAGGAATTCAATGACAATCCTGGCCATGTGAACTACCTTGTACTACCCATTTTCAATATAATTAATATCCCCAAGTGTGAAGTTTCTTTCTTTGTTCAGTATATATACAGTTTTGTATAAAATATATATGTAACATTATTCGACAAATTACTGAAAAACAGTAAGATCCTACGTGAATAGTTCAACATGACCAATACTGTCTCACATTTAACTATTTATACCATCAATACACTCCATCATTGAAGTAGCAATCATGTGACCAAAAGCGAATAACAATTCTAAAACATAATTTTCAAATAATATGTCTTTTTCAAAGATCCATCCGTCCTAGGCAATTTTGACTGGTATATGACAACCATAACATTGTGACAATATGTTCGTCTAATACAGGGTACTGCCCTGAGCTCCGTCATAGTGTCATAGTGTCATCTGTGATTTCCATTATAACTGTAGCCCTCTAAATATTAAATAAACGTTACGTGCCTACATCAAGGATTAGGGTGTAAAGTGTGGGAATATTGCTGGGAGACAGCTGCCCAGCTGCTAATGTCTCCACAGGTCATGTGTGTGAAAGAATCACCTTATCGACCGAAATAGGTTAGGTCAGGACACACAGGAGATATCTGAGTCAGTTGTTGTAAAGGATTAGTTAACCCTTACTATGTCCTCCTTGTGCAATGGCACGACATTGTGGGTAAGTTGTATGAACGTCATCAATTGTCATGATATTCTGTATGAACTGGCTGCTTTTCTGGTTATATATTCCACCGGTTATGGTACAGAATGTTTAATTTGACACACAAAATACAAGGAATATACTTGTCAATATTATCGATGTGATTTTGACACACTAGCTCATTACCGTCTCGTTTACCAAAACCATCACTGCGTCATTAATAATAACGATCCTCGGATCAGGGCATTTAAATGTCAGATTTATGACAAAAACGCGAGAGTGTCATATTTGAAGCAAATATGATCATAAAGGACTTTCCTATGTCATTGAATTGACGACCACATACATGTATAGGTGTAGCAGAACAGATGTTCATGTGAAATCATGCTGCAGCAAATGTCATATAGTTCACACACAATTTACACATAAGAAGATACATCGCATGCATTTTATATGTAGATAGCAATTACAGAGGAATGGGACACTTCTATGCTTTCTTCAGTGATATTTTTTGTGTCAGTCGTGTTCGGTTTACAAAATGAATAATCGACATCATGATCTTTAGCCCTTAAAAATATAAACATGAGAACACTATGTAAAAATTCAACACCAATTCTTGGTAAATCAGTTACCGTAAGACATAAACGTCACTATTATAACACAAGCTGTAACCGTTAGAGCATGGCTACTCCATGGGTAGACATTTTATAATATTTATGTGAAAAAGAACCACATCTTAAACGTATAGAAATGGATTTTTTATACATATATACTATAAGGAAGGGGAGAAAATATCGGAATTTTGATAAATTAAATATTGATAATGAATGAAGCCATATTCCAACACTCACCAAAACATCAGTACAACAATGGCAAAAAGCAATTTTAGAATTGTATTCTATTCCTTCCGACCAGCTGAAAAGTTGGAATGGGAAAAAGAAACTGGTTCTTAAAATATTGTTTTAAAATAGTCTATTAATCTTTTACATCGTGTGATCACAAGCATTAAATTATGTGTATATGTGCTTGATTTACATTATTGGAAAACTTCATGTGAATACTGTCTTCTCCAGGACACGAAGCTGACCTGGAACAACGCATGGCCTCAGTTCACAGACTGCTTCCAGTCAACGGTGTTGGTGTGGGTGCCGTGTGGGTGGCTGTGGCTGACGTCGCCGTTCTATCTTTACTACCTCCTGAACGTCACACCGACATCGCTGTCATCACGATATAAATATATAGCAAAACTCGTAAGATGACATCTCACGTTATTGTTCATGTTAATGAACTAAGCATTAGATGTTGCAGGGTGGCTCGTGCGTCAGTATTTCAGCTTCATTTAAAATCTTTCCCACTTCACAATTTCAAATATATATAATGTTCTAGCATGTAAAGTGTACAGGTGTCTCCCTTGCCTGAAGCAGGATCCAGTCTGGCGGGGCTCATTAACGCAATGCAACTGCCTTATGTTTCCCCACGTTAAACCAATGTTTAATGTAAATAATGAGCGTACTTATGTTGCAGCCGCCCTTCAAACTACACTCAGTGACCACGTGCCACTACGAACTCGTACTCCGCAATGTAACTGAAATAGAATTTAAAGCGGAGTTTTATCAAGACTTCAATCAACATTTTTCTCCTTTCAGATAACGTGTTCATTCCTTGTCCTAATGTCGGTCATACGGTTGATAGTTGACGCACATGGTCCCACAAGCGCCAACTTCAGAGCTGTATTCGTCGCTCCTGCAATCCAGGGACTCACTTTTGTAAGCCGTTACATCTACACCGAACACATACTCTTGGGTGAATCAAGTGAGTGAGTGAGTTAAAATTAATAGTCATATCGGCAACATTTCAGCCATATTGTGACTTAAAAAGTTATAAATTAACAATAAACACAATTACATTATAAAACACCTGTCAACGAAGGGCAGTAAAATAACTAGATTATCGCAGGAATAAATTTAAGACTAGTGATTAAATCTAAAATATTTTACCTATAAATGACAATACAATATAAAACAGGCTATTGATTGCCAACAACAGAGGGTAAATCACCATACTAGGGACCATGGGAATGGAGGAATCAAGAAACATACATGTTAATACCAAGTATTGAACAAAGAGAAGTGTCGACAAAGAAACTATGGGAGAACGCTTTTGACTGTAAAACACGAGTACAGGATAGATTTATGCTGAACCAGGCGCTACGAAATCGAGATCAAACGGAGAATTAAACTGCTGCAACCTTTCGTCAGGGAACTGGCGTACTAGTCCCACATCAGCCGACTGATAAACCTTCCACATGCAGCTCATCTCCATACCCATGGCCACGTGTTGTACAGCATTATATCGCCAACAGCCGTCAAATCTACTGATCTAGAAACGTCACCGTTGAAATGTCCCAATTTACCCTCGTCCACCATCAAGATCGTTGAAGGTCATACTCCACAACCAGCTGTTTTAATGTGTTACCAATGTGTGCAGTATTATCTTAAAACCATTACTGTAGACGAATATCATGTACAGCTTTGGAAATTCTAAGTACCCCTTACCATTTAAGAGTACATTTTCTCAGTAGAACGACAATCATCAGTAAATACAAGTTTCCTAACTTGACCCTAAACCAATATTTCCTGTTATTTCGCACAATTCGTACTGGATTGTACAGAGACAACAAGTATATGTGACGGGTTTCAGCTGCTTGCGATGTTGCTGCTGCTCCTGGAGAGGAAGAAAGGCCTCATCACTTCCGGGGTGATGTTCACCTTCTGGCTGATGCTCACTCTGGCTGGCATCATCCCCTTCTACTCCATCATCATACAGGAGGTAACCGAGATGTACTTTCCATGAAATCTCTTATATTATTAGCACTCTCATTGCAGACACGCTGTAGTAGGCCCAGTTCTGTT